ACGGTATTGTGTAGGAGTTTCCTCCAAAATAAAAAGCTTTCACGCTGGAGGGAGGGAGTCACCTCAAGACACAAGAATGTTCTAAGGGGAAGGAAAACACCATCCTGCGGGAAAGCTTGCTCGGCTCAGGAAGTAAGCAACTAAAAGACAGCAAGAAGTCACTGAAAACGACTGGATTCACTAGACACCCCCCGACCCCCAAGCATGTGCGAGCAGTAGGGACTGCTGAGAGACACTCTCAGGCCAGCTGAGCTGCCTAGAGGGAGAAGAGACCAGCGGAGCGACCCAGAAAGGACACCTTCCAACCCGCTGGGCGGCCCGCGGGCTGTGCCGTGTGCTCCAGGCGCCCAGCTTTAATGAGCTGTCCTCACCCTGGGGTGGGTTCTGATGGCGCAGCTGTCCTGGAGTCATTTCCGCTCCTGTAGCTAACCTCTCACTCAGACTCCTGTGAGGAACTCCAGGGTAACTCATGGGTTCACCAAATGGGGCTTTGGTGGTATCCCTACTGTGGCCTACCCTTGGTTCCCTATCTGGGGTGAGTAGACATCTGTCACATCTCCCCTGCGATGGTGTCACACACCACATATACACACACATGTACATATACACACACATGTACATATGCGCACACACATATATACACATGCACAAATGCACAAACATACACATACATCCATATACATGTATACACATACACATATACATACACATACACATATACATACACATATGCATACACATATACATACACAGATACATACACAGATACATACACATATACATACACAGATACATACACAGATACATACACAGATACATACACATACACATATACATATATATACACATATACCCAAACACATATAAACACATGTACAGATACATATATGTATGCAGATACATATATAAATATACATGTAAACCCAGATTTACACTCATATATCCACATGCATATATATACATGCACACATATATATGTATATACACATTCACATGTATACAGGCACACATACACATAAATACATACACATATACACAAATACACACATACAAACACATATGTAAACTCACACATATACACATATACATACAGGTATGCATATATATACATAAGCACGCACACACATATGCACACGTATATATCCATGCAGACACACACGTACTCACCTATATGCATACACAAACACACACAAGCACATACGCATATACTTATATACAAGTACACACACAAGTACATATACAAACACATACACCCACATGTGGATTATATATCTAAATAGAGATGTCTGTGGCCTATCAAGAACAGCTCTCTCAGAAGCTCCTCCCAGATGGCCTTAGTCACCAAGCACTCTGTCACCAAGAGTGAGGGATTCTTCAGTAAGTCTTTTCCTCCCACGTTGGCAAGCGATTCATTCGCCCAGCTCTTGGGGGGGTCTCCCTTCCTCAGTTCAGATATGGGTAGGGACGGTGCCTTCTCCCTGGGTCTTCTGCAGGCTGTGTGGCGTCATGTGACACAGAGCTGTGGATTTCAGAGTGAGAGAGGGCGTGTGAGTGTGTGCAAGTCAGGGAGGCAGCCTCAAGTTCAGCGGTGTAGCTGGTCCTGTGTCTGCGGGATGCCTACAGTCCCTTGTTCTTCTGGGGCAGAGAGCTCAGTCGGCCCTGGGAAGGTCCCATGCCGTCAGAGATTCTTAGTGATCCTGTCCTCTCCCTCAGAGTTCCTATATGGAGGGTTGGACTCCAAACTGATATCTCTGGAGAGAGTTCTTTTGAGGAGGCCACTAAAGTTTATCACAGGGTGGGCCCCAGCGGGAAAGCTTTCCTTCGAGAAGCAGGAGATGATACCAGGTCAGTACTTTTTAAATGCGGTTTATTTTACTTTTAAGTGTGTGTGTGTGTGTGTGTGTGTGTGTGTGTGTGTGTGTGTGTGTGTGAACGTGCATGCTCACGCAATGTCCTTAGAGTACAGAAGAGGTTTGCAGAGGCCCTGATGTGGTGTGGGTGCTGGGAACTGAGCCCAGGTCCTCTCCAAGAGCAGCAAGTGCCGTGAACCACCGAGCCACCCTCCCCCAGATCAACTCTTGGTCTTTCTGGATTCCCTTCCTTCCCTCCTTCCTCCTCTTCCTCCTCTCTTCCTTCTCCTCCTTCCACCCTGTGAGAACAACTGCAAGCTGAGAAGAAAGCCCTCACCAGGAACCAACAACCACCGTCACCTCTAACACTGACTCTTAGCCTCCAGAACGGTGAAAGAGACATCCGTTTCTGTTGCTCAAGCCACCCACTCTGTGCCATTTTGTTGTGGAACTCTGGGCTGCTGAATGAGGGGACCCGGACTCCTTCCCTGTCGCCCTGTGTTCCCTGCCGGATGGCTTCTGCGCCCTGCCTGGGAGAGGTTCGAGGTCAGATGAACACTTCTGTCTTGTAGCTACAGTGGTGTGTCTTGATCTGTTTGTGGGGCCCCTGGCAGTGGGACCAGGATCTATCCCTAGTGCATGCATGAGCTGGCTTTCTGGAGCCCGTTCCCTAGGGTGAGACACCTTTCTCAGCCTCGATGCAGCAGGGGAAGGGCTTGGTCCTGCCTCAAGTTGATGTGCCAGAATTTGTTGACTCCTCAAGAGAGTCTTTATCATCTCTGAGGAGCGGATGGGGGGAAGAGATGGGGGAGCAGGAGAAGGAGAGGGAGGCAGAAGTGGGGTTGGTTTGTAAAATGAAAAATAAATGTAAATTAAAAAAAGGATGACAAAAAATACACTGCTGTCTTGCAGCTAGTAAAGAGGAATATGGAACAAAGATGGTTTTCTTCCGTACTCCCCACCCCCAGCATACTCGCGCGCACACACTTTCTTTCCTCCAGACTGAGGTTAGTTAGTGGTCTCGTCTGGAATGCGAATGGTTTATCAATATGCCGCTCGAAATAAGAACTCGGATACCCGAGGAAAGAGGATGTGAGGCGCACATTCCATGCAGGCGGCAGATAGAATAGAGAGCTCTTATCTCGGGGATTCGGGGTGAAGACTCCTTCTGAGGGTGCACACCCCCGAAGACGTGGCTGATAAATCCGTAAATGTTTGGGGTTTTTTCGAAGTTCAAAGATGGGCACTTTCCAACGAAACAGCCCCATGTGGGGGAAGGCTTGTGAAGTCTGCTCAGAGGGGGTGGCAGCCGCAGATAGCAGGGGCCAGAGAGATGATAAGCCTATCAATATTTCATGTGTTCCTCAGAAGGACGGACAAGCCTTTGAAGCTCCGGGTGCGTCGGAGATCAAGCAAACATCTGATTTTCTTTTTCTTTCTCCTTTCCCTTTCTTTTAAGATTCATTTTTGTTGTTGTTGTTGTTGTGTTTGTTTTGTGGGTATGAGCAAGCACATCCCACCCTGCATGAGTGGAGGTCAGAGGTCAGCCTTCAGGAGTCAGGATTCTGCCTCCACTTGTACGAAGATGGGATCTTTCTGGTTATTTGTGCAGCTGGGCTGCACTACGCCGTAGCCAGCTCCTTCGAGTGTTTTCCCCATCTCTGTCTTCCACCCTGTTGCAGGAATTCTGGGATGACACAAGTCAGCTCCTCCCATGTTTAGTCTTCTCACACAAGTTCTGGGGATTCCACTGGGGTGTTAGGGCAGCATGCAAGCGCTTTTAATTGCTGGGTCCTTTGGTTGTCCCCCTCTCTTCTTCTTATTACTTTAAATATTTTGTTTCATTTGTGTGTGTGTGCGTGTGTGTGTGTGTGTGTGTGTGTGTGTGTGTGTACGTGAGTGCAGTGCCTGTGAAAGTCATAGGAGTCAGATCCTCTGGAGCTGGAGTTAAAGGCAGTTACAGCCTCCTGATGGGAGATACTGGGAATCGAACTTGAGTCCTCTACGAGGGCAATAGATTCTCTTACCTGCCAAGCCATCCTCCAGCCCCGCCCTTTTCTTTTTAAATAGACTTCAAAAATAAGAATTCTCTTTCTTTCTTTCCTTCCTTCTTGCTTGCTTTCTCTCTCTCCCTCTCTTTCAAGACAACAAAGACTTTTATCTTCCACAGTGTTCTGAACTCCCTGCTGTGGCCAAGGATTATCCTTCTGTTTCTACTGCCCAGGCCTGAGCCACCATGTCTGGGTTTATTTGGTGCTGAGGATCAGACCCAGGACTTGATGTGTGAGTGACGGTATGAAATTTATGGGCTTCACACTGGGCAGGCACTCTACCAACTGATTCCCACTCCCAGCTCCAACAATTTGTGTGTGTGTGTGTGTGTGTGTGTGTGTGTGTTTAAAGATTTTATTTATGTGCATGAGTGTTTTGCCTGTATGTATGTCTGTGTACCATGTGTGTATCTGGTGCCTGCAGAAGTCAGAAGAGGGCATTGGATCCCCTGGAACTGGATTTACAGATGATTGGGAGCCACTACATGGGTACTGGGAACTGAACTTGGGTCCTCTGGAAAAGCAGCCAGTGTTTTAAACCACTGAGTCCTCTTTCTAGCCTCAACCGTCGGGTTTTGATATGCTATTTTACTATTTTGTAGCTGTTAAATCTAAAACTCTCAATTACATCAGTTTGAAGTTTGATATTACAAATGCTCATGGGAAGCCAGTGTGGTCTCCTGCGGAAGGTGAAAGTCGGAAGAGGTAAAATCAAAACAAAGCGACAGGAACCAGTGACGGCTGAAACTTGATCTCCAGTAAGAGTGGAGACATATGACAGGTTTAGTTGCCACACAAGAAGAACCTGTGAGCTAAAGAGATGGCTCAGTGGGTAAAGGGCCTTGTTCCCAAGACTGATGACTTGAGGTCTGTAGCTTGGACCCACATGGTGGAAGGAAGGAGAGAACCAACTCCCGCAAGTTGTCCCCTGACTTAGATACATGTGGGCATAAATACACACACACACACATGCACACACACACAGACACACACACAGACACACACACTATAAAAAAAATGTAATAAAAATAAAGCCTTTACTGGTGTGTAGAGGTAGGGACTAAAAATTTCCTCCCACAAATCCCATACACTCACTCACAAAGCAAAGAATTCTCCAGTGCTGAATGTCCACAGTGCAAGACAAGAGAGACCCTGGACCAGATGGCATCACCTGCTGAAGATCCAATTGAAGCTCTCTTCTGTCGTAAAAGTAAAAAAAAAGGAAATTATGTTACTTGCAGTAAAATGGATGGTAGCAGCTGGAGAGATGGTCCAGTGGTTAAGAACACATGTTGCTCTTGCAAAGGGCCTGGGTTTGGCTCCCAGAATCCACACTGTGGCTCACAACTGTTGGTAACTCCAGTTCCAAGGAGCCCAACACCCTCTTCCGATCTCTGGCACCAGGCATGCATGTGGTACATAGACATGCATGCAGACACAACATTCACACCTATAAAATTAAAATAAATCAATTTTTTTCCCAAAGGAAAGTAAGTGCATAGAATTGGAGGTTGTCATATGGTTTGAAAATTAAGCCAGACTCAAAAAGACAAATATTGCATATTTTATCTCATATGTGGAACCTAATAGATATGTATCTCTCTCACACACACACACCACACGTAGAATGGAGACTATTTGCTTTTTAAAATTGTGTGTATCAATTCCTGTAGCTAAAGTTCAGGATCATAGTGGAAGAGGGGGAAGGAAAGACTTGCTGTGAGATTCTGTCTCCTAGAAATGTCAGAGAGGCTACACCCAAGAAGTCTCACCAACATGGCTGCCTAACTAAGACCTGAAAAATGATGACTCCAGTGGACGTGATAACAGGGAAGGTGCAAAGCGTCAAGGGCCTCAAACCCAGAGCAAGAACTAAGGGCAACTTGGGAAAGCTGAGAGCAAGATAAATGGTCTTTCCCGGGGGAGGGTACCCCAGTTGTCTATCCAATAGCAAGTAGTCAGCCCCGAGACAATATACATACAGGTAGCATTATGTAGACTGAGCAGGTTGTGTTTATGTATCTAGGAATATGTATGCACGTATATGTCACAGCAAGTAGAGAAAAAGAGGCCCCGAATTTGAGAGAGAAAAAGAAGGGACTGCATGGGAGAGGTTTGGGGGGGAGGAGAAGGTGAGAAATGATGTAATTATGTTATAAAGTCAAAAATAAAAAAAATACTCTAAATAAGCTGTGTGTGTGTAGATGTGCGTGTGTGCGCGTGCATTCATGTGCACATCCTTGTACACATGAGGAAGCCAGAGGATGTGGGAGGTCCTGTTCTATCACTCTTCATGGTATTCCTTTTCGGCAGGATCTCTCACTAAACCCAGAGCTAGGCAAACAACCCCCAAAGCCCTGATGTTCTTCCTGTGTCTGCATTCAGAGACACACAGATGACCACACCTGTCTTTTTTTTTTTTTAAAATGAGGGTTCTAAGAATCTGAAGTCAGGTTCTCATTGGATAGTAAGCACCCCTACCCGCTGAGCCATCTCCTCAAGCCCTTGTTTTTGTGTTGACACACGGTGTCCTATAGCTCAGGCTGACCTTGAACTCACTATGTAGCTGAGGTTGACCTTGAACTCTTGACTCTCCTTCCTCCACCTCCCAAGTGCTCTGCTATAAAGGAAGAGGAAGAAGACCAGAGGGAAAAGGGAAAGGGGATGTGAAACGGTAACCAGAGGTCAACATCACCAAGGCACATGGCAAAAATGTCGTCGTCGAAGAACCCATTACACGAGGAATTTGTACAAAGTGTGCATGTGTACAATAAATGCATTCTCATTTCATGAAAAAAATTAGGGAAAATTTTAGGAAGTATCATGGGGTTGTTGGAAGCGTATCGCTACCTAGTAGATTGGGGATGTGGCTCAGCGGGTAAAGTATTTGCCTTTCAAGGTGATGCACGCTTACAATCCCAGCACTCCCACAGCGAAATGAGAGTCAGAGACTGGCAAATGCCTGGATCAAGGGCCAGCAAGCTTGGCTTGAACAGTGATGAGCCGCAAAGACATCCTGTCTCAAACAATGTGGATGACCATACAAACAACGTGAGGACCAACCCCTCAGGTTGTCCTCAGACCTCCACATGTGTGCTGGCCACATGGCACCAGGACTCACCTCTGTGAACTGTGAACTGACTCACACACAAATGTGCACACACACACACATACATGCCATACACACACCTTGCACGTACAATAGAAACATTAAAACAAAATAAAATGATGAGCAAGTGTTACCCCGAACTGTTGGAAGCGCCCTAGTGCGTATAGCAAGTTCTTTTTGGATGAGCTGCTGGGGAGAACTGGCTAGAGATTGATGCTGTTTATGGGAAACTCTGTTATCTCCAATGCTGAACCAGCTGCTGGGGCCTCCCAGCCAGGCACTCAGCCTGCATTCTGGGAAACCTCTGGGCAGAGGACGGGAAGGAGGTGAGAAAACAGGCCCGGAGTCAGACATGACAGCTCAGGCCGTTGGTGGCAGCATGGAGGCCAGTTGGAGTGGACAGCATCTGTAACTGTCCAGATGTGGGGAGCTGGAGGCAGAGATGGCAGGATTTAGACTTTGGGGAAGAACAAGGAAAGAGAATGAGCTTGCCATTTTATCCTGTCATTTAGAGGTGATAAGTTCTCAGGGGGAGGATAAGGCGGCAGTGTGGTTAGGAGCGGGCTGCTGTTAGCCGTTCAAGCTGGATCTATTGGCCGAGAGGACTAGATTGCTGGCCACGAGGACTTAGAGACCAGTTGGACATGAGTGACTAGGTCGGGCACGTGTAGCTTTTGCTGTCCCTGGTCCCCAAGACACCTCATTGTTCTAAGTAAATATTGTTTTCACGTCACCTTGCCTTTTCTTTTCTTTTCTTTTCTTTTCTTTTTCTTTTTCTTTTCTTTTCTTTTCTTTTTTTTTTCTTTCTTTTTTTTTTTTGCCTTTCTCCAGTAGCGGGGCTGGAACCCAGGCACTCACAGGATAGGCAGGCGAGCGAGTCTATGGTCTATGGTCTTGTAGTTCTCATGAAATATTTTTACGTGGTACTGAGGGTTAATCCTGGCTTCTTGCTCGTGCTAGACAAGTGCTTTACCACTGAGCCACATCTCAGGCCTGGTTTTGTTAGGTTTGCTGTTGTTATTGTTGTTGTTGTTGTTTTTCGAGACAGGGTTTCTCTGTGTAGCTTTGCGCCTTTCCTGGAACTCACTCTGTAGCCCAGGCTGGCCTCGAATTCACAGAGATCCGCCTGCCTCTGCCTCCCGAATGCTGGGATTAAAGGTATGCGCCGCCGCCGCCGCCGCCGCCGCCGCCGCCCGGCCGGTTTTGTTAGTTTTGAGATAGGATCTTACTTAGTTGCCCAGGTTGGCCTTGAACTTACTCTGTAGTCTAGTTAAGGCTTTTTAATTTTTAAATTTATTGTTGTTGTTGTTGTTGGTGGTGGTGGTGGTGGTGGTGGTGGTGTGTGTGTGTACAAATGCCACGGAGCACGTGTGGAGTTTAGAGAACAACTTTTGGAAGCTGATTTTTCTCCTTCCCTGTGGGTCCCTGGGATTGAACTCAAGCAGCTGGTTTGGCAGCAGGCCTCTTTTATCCACTGATCCATCTTGTCAGCCCCAAGGGAAATCTGGAGCTCGCAACCCTCCCGAGCGCGTTAGCCTCATAAGCAGTTGGGGTTGCAGGCCTGCGCCACAAACACAGTATTTTAAAGAAAATTGAAACAAGGCAGGGCTGGGGAGGTGCCTCGGTGGGTAAAGAGAACGCTGTGAGGACTTACTTGAGCTTGGCTCCTTAGCACCCCACTCACAAGGCTGGCGTGGAGCCCCAGGCCCGTAACCCAAGGACTGGGCACAGAGTAGGGGTGGAGGGGTGCGGGGAGCGGAGGTTGGCAGACCCAAGGGGCCTTACTGGCTAGGCTGTTTTACTGCTACAGTCTGGTAGGAGACCCTCTCTCAAAAAATAAGGCAGAGAATCAATGGGCAAAGACATCCCAAACAACAAATGCTGGCCCCGACTCCTGCCCACAAGGAGGCACGCACGCACGCACGCACAGACCCCACCACAGGAAATTAAAGGCAACACAGGGAACCCACAACGGACGCAATGCCAAACTCTTCCCCAGAAAACAGGACGGATACTGCCCTTGACAAATGGCCCCTCCCTCGCCTCATCCTGCTGCGCACCCTCTCCTCAGTTAACATTCGGTATTTGTGCTGGGATTTTAGTTAGGACACGGCGCTTGTCCTACCATGCAGGAGGCCCTGAGTTGGAGCCTCAGCCCCACGGTGTTAAATGCCTGTAATTTCAGGCATTCTAAAAAGTCAGAAAGATCAGTCGTTCAGGACCATTCTGGGATACAAGAGACCTTGTCTCAACAAAATAAATAAAATAAAGCAAAAACAACCACCATGATGTTAATATTTCACCTCTGGTTATTTTTCCCCAAGAGTTAAAAAAAAAAAATTGACATTAAAAAAAATTCTTCCATTGAGCCATTATTTGTCCGTGTTGCTGAGATGTTTGCACCTCACCTTTTAAAATGTTGCACCCCACTCCCCCTCACCCTGGCCCTGCCGAACAAGAGCAGACAGAAGGAGCGTTTCCGAGAGAGAGGAAGCAAGCAAGCGGTTAGAACGTTCACACAAGGCTGCCTGGCCACGTGGACCCTCGGGTCTCCAGAATTCCATGGGGTTTCCAGTGAGCTAGGGGCGGTGTTGGATCGCAAGCAGGATGTACATCCAAGCGATGGAGGCAGAACACTGCTTTCTTGCAGACATGTGGGAGGCAGCCCCTTCCAAGATATGAAAAAAGCGTACTTAATACTAACCATCTGTTTGGCGAGTCACACGAGTGCTCCCTGCTTCTCACCAGTTTTCCCTCTACCGTTTAGAGCCGATCAGGTCACAGGATTATTTTCAAAGGAGATGACTCCCCATTCAAAAGACCCTTCACAGTATCATCCACCCACCCACTCTGTCTATTCATCCATCGTCTGTCTCTCTAGCCATGTAATTAAATTATTTTGTTTATTTGGTTATTATTATCATTACTATTATTGTTGTTTGTTTTTGGTTTCGCAAGACAGGGTTTCTCTGTGTAGCCCTGGCTGTGCTAGAACTCACTTGGTAGACCAGGCTGGCCTTGAACTCACAGAGATCTGTCTGCCACTGCCTCTCAAGTGCTGGGATTAAAGCCATGAGTCACCATGGCTGG